TATATATGCATACATATATATATATATATATATATATGTAGTTAAACTAAATATAAAAAAAGACCCGAGTAAAGTAAATTTAACTCCAATTTAATACAATAATTTTACATTTAGATACTTACTTCCTCATGCTAGTGGTTTAAAAATCAGACAGCTCATTAATCTTTGCTTAGACAAAGCGAACACTTTCTCTCTCTCTCTCTCTCTCTCTCTGACTCTCTCTCCCTCTCTCTCTCTCTCTCTAACTCTCTCTCTCTCTCTCTAACGAGTTCTTACTCAGCAGGACGTCGACAGGATGGTAGCTGAAATCACCCCCTCCGCCTCTCTTTCTTCCACACGCAGCTGCGCACATCCCTCTCACAGTGTTTTAGTCTTTCATTTCATAATTCATCCCGTTGAGTCACAAATGCGCACACATGGGCTAGAGAGCGATATTGACGCAGCAGTTGAGTGCTGAGGTGGGCGGAATTCAGAACACTCTCTCTCTCTCTCTCTCTCTCTCTCTCTCTCTCTCTCTCTCTCTCTCTCTCTCTCTCTGACTCTCTCTCCCTCTCTCTCTCTCCTCCAGACCTGCAGTGGTTGAGGTTTTAACACTTGTATGTTTGTTGGTTTCAGTGGGCTGTAATATGATTCTGATGTGGATCTTCCTGTAGGAGTCACATTAATATCCACTGATGAGCATGTTAATTAGCTGAGATGATCTGACTCCAGCAGTGTGATTAGCACAGCTCCAGCTCCATGTGAGCACGTTTTGAGTCGAATGCAGGTTCAATCAGATGAATCTGTGGTTGGATCAGACTCGAGCTCAGAGTTGTCTTCTGTTGTTCTGCCTCAGGTGTCAGAGTTACTGTTACTGCCCACCGCATCTCTCACACCTGCGCACTGCTGCCAGGCTTTGAGCTGTGTGACTGTGCATCGCAGGAACCTCCGTGACGCGTCAGACGCTGGAGGAACACACGCTGTGGCTGACGGACATCACAGAAGATCTGATCCGGCTGAACTCTGGCAGATCCTGCAGTAAAACTGGTTCTGCAGTTCACGGGTGGATCTGGGCGTGAAACATGAGAGAGCATTTGTTTGTTTATGTAGTTCAGTTTTTAGCATGAATATTCAATGTGAACGAGTTTGTCTGGCACTCGTCTCCAACGGTTAGATGCTGTTTTACCGTCTGATAAAGAGGTCAGAGGTCAGACAGGTCATCCCGGTTGACCTTTAAGGTCACTTTTATCCTTCTGTGTCTCTCTGAAATGAGAACGGAAAAAGGTCCTTCTCTGCATTATTGTTTGCATGGAGCATTATTCCAGTCAAGACGAAACCTTTATTTATATTGTGCTTAATACTCATTGTGTCAAAGCAGCGTTACAGGGATAAACAGAAACATTTATTAAACTAATTTTAATAGTTTTCTATACACACGATTCTTATCAGTAGTCTAAAATATGAGATGCACAAGAGCCTTTATTAGCCCTATTTAATTTTTAAAAGTGTTTTGAATTAGAAAAATTTAAAGCAAATGAAAGTATAAGCAAAAGTCAGATATCATTGTAAGCAAGTGTAAGTTTCTGCTAGAGGTTTTTAGGGTTGTTAGTGCTTGGCCTTCGCATCTGGATGAAGTATGATGTTCTTGTGTCTGTTAGGGATTCTCTTCAGATTGAAGGAGAAATGAGTCTTAATTCAGAGGCTTCCGACGCGTTCTGACAGACAGCTTTTTATCATTGTTTGTATGCTCTAGCAGTCATATGTGTAATACTCAATCATTTTTCAGTATTATTGCTAAATCAGTTGTTAATTTTAATGACAGTCACTGCTGCAACAGTGCAAAATGCTTGAAACAGTAGAAAATAACAGAGTAACAAAGGAAAATGTTTGAAAACGGTGTATGTTTTGTAAAAGAAAGGAGATGATATTTTAGTTTGTGTGCGCTGTTTAATACTGCGGTCAGACTCAGAGCGACGAGCTTGTTTCCTGTCGTTCTGCAGCTGTCGGCACATGTCTGCTTGTTTCAGAATCAGTTTTACACATTCAGACCAGCTTCAACATCTCTGCTGTACCGTCAGCTGTACACCTGCGTAAGACACAAACTTCAGCGATTACATTCATTCAAACACACGTGACGTCAGAGAGATAAACACAGATGAAACGCCTCACTCGTTTACTCATGGATGTAACATGACGTGTGTACACTTGTATATCAGAGTGAAATATGATATAAATGTAAGCAGGATGAGTTCTCTGGCCTGTAGATGTTACTCAGGTTCTTCTGTTTCTTCTCAAGAACACAGCTATCATCTGAAGAACAGCATGCGGGTTTATGTGATTGAGTGGATCGTTACGTTGGTTAATGATGGAGGCCAGTAATCTCATCATCTGTGTCATCTCTAGTGTTCTTCAGTAAAGGTGATGAAGCTTCGTGTGTTCTTCATCTCTCTTCCTCCTCAGTCTATGACATATTCTCAAAATAAACACATTTGATTAGATTCCCACTTTAGACTGATTGTTTAACCCAAATGTTTTACATAAAAAATATTCAGTAATGAGTGCTCTAAATGAAACACTTCATTATGGTCTGAAAGCCCTAACTAACAAACAGACTGATGTAGAAGCAGGTGGGCGGGGCTAAACAGTGATGTAGAAGCAGGTGGGCGGGGCTAAACAGGCAGTGATGTAGAAGCAGGTGTTGATCTTCTTCTGAGGAGGCGGAGCTTATCCACACTATTACATCATAGAGTAGAATATTCCACAAGCTGATGTTGTGGCGGACTGCCTTCAATATAAGCTGTTTTTAGACTAAAGAGAGAGTTCTGAGTTCTGAAACTTACAGGATGTTTATATAGTACAATCACCTCTTATATGTCATCAAGGGAATTTGTTTCTCAGTTCATGACCCCTTTAAACTTAACCTGCCGATACCATCAGTGGTGGCCACCACCAACAAGAACTCCAATGCGTCTCTGGTCTACGCCTTCCTGTACAAGCTGGTGGAGGTGAGTCCGAGACGACTGGTCCTTCATTAACTACCGGGTTAATTCTTCAATGTTAACTGAAGGCGCTGAATGTCACGCTGAGAAACGAGCGTGCTTCTCCTGTGCCGTGTGTTCAGGTGTTCACGGAGTACTTCAAGGAGCTGGAGGAGGAGAGCATCCAGGATAACTTCGTGGTGGTGTACGAGCTGCTGGACGAGCTCATGGACTTCGGTTTCCCGCAGACGACAGACAGCAAGATCCTTCAGGAGTAAACTTACAGGATGTTTTTATAGTACAATCACCTCTTATATGTCATCAAGGGAATTTGTTTCTCAGTTCATGACCCCTTTAATGCAGTATGAGTGACCCCTGCTAGCGTTATGTCTGCTTTTTAATATTTAATTTTGAGACCACGCCCTTCCCCTTCAAAGAAACACCTCTCATGCAGGAGAAACACTGATGTGTGTGGAAGGCTGTTTCCGACACTGCATTTTATTTGTTTTTTCAGTGGCTGAAACGGGCTTCCATAGTGTGTCTGTGTGTGAGAGAGAGAGAGAGAGAGAGAGTGTGTGTGTGTGTGTGTGTGAGAGAGAGAGAGAGTGAGTGTGTGTGTGTGTGTGTGTGAGTGAGAGAGAGAGAGTGTGTGTGTATGTGTTTGTGTGTGTGTGTGTGTGAGAGAGAGAGTGCGTGTGTGTCTGTGTGTGTGAGAGAGAGAGAGTGTGTGTGTGTGTGTGTGTGTGAGAGAGAGAGAGAGTGAGTGTGTGTGTGTGTGTGTGAGAGAGAGAGAGAGTGAGTGTGTGTGTGTGTGTGTGAGAGAGAGAGAGAGTGAGTGTGTGTGTGTGTGTGTGAGAGAGAGAGAGAGTGAGTGTGTGTGTGTGTGTGTGAGAGAGAGAGAGAGTGAGTGTGTGTGTGTGTGTGTGAGAGAGAGAGAGAGTGAGTGTGTGTGTGTGTGTGTGAGAGAGAGAGAGAGTGAGTGTGTGTGTGTGTGTGTGAGAGAGAGAGAGAGTGAGTGTGTGTGTGTGTGTGTGAGAGAGAGAGAGAGTGAGTGTGTGTGTGTGTGTGTGAGAGAGAGAGAGAGTGAGTGTGTGTGTGTGTGTGTGAGAGAGAGAGAGAGTGAGTGTGTGTGTGTGTGTGTGAGAGAGAGAGAGAGTGAGTGTGTGTGTGTGTGTGTGAGAGAGAGAGAGAGTGAGTGTGTGTGTGTGTGTGTGAGAGAGAGAGAGAGTGAGTGTGTGTGTGTGTGTGTGAGAGAGAGAGAGAGTGAGTGTGTGTGTGTGTGTGTGAGAGAGAGAGAGAGTGAGTGTGTGTGTGTGTGTGTGAGAGAGAGAGAGAGTGAGTGTGTGTGTGTGTGTGTGAGAGAGAGAGAGAGAGAGAGTGTGTGTGTGTGTGAGAGAGAGAGTGTGTGTGTGTCTGTGTGTGTGTGAGAGAGAAAGATGTATGTGTATGTGTATGTGTATGTGTATGT